GGGGCAGGACTTGCTGAAGCATACTCCTGCCAGCCACCCCGACCACCCCTTGCTGCAGGATGCCCTCCGCATCTCACAGAACTTCCTGTCCAGCATCAACGAGGAGATCACACCCCGACGGCAGTCCATGACGGTGAAGAAGGGAGAGGTGAGCGTGGCAGGGGATGGCTTGGGTCCGCCCAGCCTGCTGAGCTGGGGGCATGCAGGGTACCCTCGATCTGAGGCCTGGAGCCCCTCCTGGTCCTCAGCAGACCTTGCCTTTTGGGATTGGTGAGTTTGGCAGCACACTCAGTCCCGTGTGGAAGGTGTCTGGGTGCAGTTGCAGGGGTGACCCCACATGCACCATACTCTCCAGGCAGCCATCACCATGCCTCACTCAGCCACCTCTTTTCTGTCATTGTGGGTTATGTCCAGGGACCCCTCTTTTTTTATCCCCCACACTCTTGCCAGCTCAGGCTCCCCAGCCAAGGAGACCTGTGTGAAGGAGGTGAGTAGGAGGATGGCATTTTGTCTGCCTGGAATCCTCCTACTTCCTCCTGAGTGCTTTCATTAAAAAACAGTTAACATCAGGTTTAAGGATTAGAAAAGGGGATTCGTGGTTTGTGTCTGTGATGTGAGACTGGATGAAGCACTTCATGTCTTCCTCTGGGAAGACTCTCCTTCCCGTTCCCCCGTCACTGACGTATTCTGTGTGCACGTCATTGATGAGCAGGCATGGCCTGTGCCTGTGCCACTCTGAGCCTTCCTGGGCAGGGCCTGGCACATAGTGAGGCTGTTTCATTCCCAGGCAGGTAGCGGCTACTGAGAATGGCCGAGGCGTGCAAGCTGGGGAGCTGGTGTCCAGGGGGGGCAGCTTTTGTCAGAAGTAGCGCTGAGGCGAGGGGAGCTGACCTATGGTGTCAGGGGTCTCATGCAGGGACAGGAGCTGTCTGGCCCAGGCAGGACACAGAATGGGCATGAACCTGACTGTAGTTGCCTCTGAGAACCACCTCATGGCTGGGCACCGTGGCTTATGCCTGTAATCCCAGCACTTTGGGAGGCCTAGGCGGGTGGATCATGAGATCAAGAATTCGAGACCAGCCTGGCCAACATGGTGAAACCCTGTCTCTACTAAAAATACAAAAATCAGCCAGGCACAGTGGCAGGTGCCTGTAATCCCAGCTGCTCCAGAGGCTGAGGCAGGTGAATCGCTTGAACCCGGGAGGCGGAGTTTGCAGCGAGCGAGATCTCACCGCTGCACTCTAGCCTGGGCGACAGAGTGAAACTCCATCTCAAAAAAAAAACAAAACACCGTCTCCTACTCTTTCTTCTTGTGTGGTCGGCAGTGTGCCAAGGACACAGGCCCTGTCCTCAGGGCTCCCATAGGGTGGACCTGCCCAGCACATGGGGCTTGCTCCTCCTGCCCTGGGCCATCAGGCAGGCAGCTGTCAGCCCCCTCTGCCGCACACCACTTTGGGAATGGTACTCTGAGTACCCAGAGTCTAATCAGAGTTGACCTGGAGTGAGGGACTTGGTCAAGTTTCTCCTGGTGGGCCTGGCCCAGGAAGGGCATGGAGGAGGAAGGAGCTGTCCGCTCCATTCCACCCTCCAGCTTTTCCAAGCCCTGGAGCTGGGTAGACTCAGGGTCCCATGCCAGCATCGTGAGGACCGACCCACTGGGTGGCCTAGAGCTTCTCCCAGCTGGGCCCATTCCTTGTCTTTGCAGCAGGGTGGGAACATGACCCCACCTCATTGGGCACCTGGGCTCCCAAATGGGTATGATTTAGTGGCAGTCCTGGCCATCCGCGTTGGCTCCTTGGCAGTCTCAGCTCTTTGAAGGCGGAAGTGGGTCAGTGGCACCTCCCAGGGGAGGCGTTGAGCAGTGCAGGTATTCCCCAGCTGATCATCCCGTGGCTGGGACCTGGGAGTGGTGGGGGATCAGATCTTGCTTCTTGGAGCAACAACTGGTCCCTGCCCCTGGTTCTCTTCCCTGGCTCAGGGCCACAGAAGGAGAGCAAACCTGTGACAAACCTGTGGGCAGTCCACACAGATCTAAGTGGATGTTGGGTTTGCTTCTCCTAAGCTTCCATGTGCTGGGTGGGTTCCTGCCAGGCTCGCCCTACCCTCCTGAGACGCCTGCTCTTTCTTTTCTACCAACTGTTCTCTTATGAGCGCTCTGACCTCCTGGGAGGTGGCCGTGGGCGTCCTTTTTCCCATGGCTTCTCCTGTGCCAAGTCTGCTCCCTGCAACTCCAGCTGCCATTTAGCGTCCCTAGAGAAAAGGAAGGGCCTTCTCGGCGCTCGGATCATTGGAATCCACTGCTTTGGGGAACTGAGAAAAATGCCATGTTGCCTAGAAGTTGGCACCCAGGCCCTCGTTCCTGCATCCGTCCCCATGGGGACTGACTTCCATGCTTACCCATGGCCACATCTCAGGACCACCAAGGAGGAAGTGTAATTTAAAAAGGGCTGGGTGTGGCTAGGCGCGGCTGGGCGCAGTGGCTCACCTCTGTAATCCCAGTGCTTTGGGATGCCGAGGCAGGTGGATCACAAGGTCCGGAGTTCGAGACCATCCAGGCTAACACGGTTAAAACCCCATCTCTACTAAAAATACAAAAAAATTAGCTGGGCGTGGTGGTTGGCACCTGCAGTCCCAGCTGCTCAGGAGGCTGAGGAAGGAGAATCTCATGAACCTGGGAGGCAGAGGTTGCAGTGAGCCAAGATCGTGCCACTGCACTCCAGCCTGGGCAACAGAGCGAGACTCTGTCTCAAAAAAAAAAAAGAAGGGCTGGGCGCTTCACAAAGGCAAGGGCCTGGATCTGCATCCTCCCCAGCACCTCACCCTGGTGGAGGGGCATTTGCTCATAGAGGAGGGGTCACCTGGGTGCCTCAACTGCAAAGCAAGATGGAGGACTAATGACTCTAGAAAAGTCACTGTGAATCTGACCAGCACCCCTTCATTCAGAGCTTTCTATCCAAGGCATGTTAAGGGAGGTGGCTTGGTGGTGGCTAAGCCAGGATGATAGACAGATGCCTGTGCTGTGCCCCAGCCCCTGCCATTCCTGGGGCAGATGCTGCTAATCAGTTGGGCACTCCAAGCCTGGACATGCTCCTCAGTATCCTCTGGCACTGCCCAATGGATTTGCAGTCCTTGATGCAGAAAGAAAGATGCCAGATGGGCGAAGCCCCGTCAGGTTCCGCTCTCGCTCACTGCTAACAGTGTACTGATTTGGGGACACCCTTTTGCTTCCCTGGGTGCCCGTGCTCTCTGAGGGCAATGATGCAGGGTCCATGGCCCCTCCACTGGGTGTTGAGACTGAAAAGGTTTCACAGCCTGAGAGGGACTTTATGAAAGTGAGGGGTGGTGACCTGCCTGCATGCCGCCATCTGTGTTGGAGGTGACGGGCAAGCTCCCCTGACGTCACTAGCCAGGAAAGGGGGGCAGGAGCTCCAGGCTACTTCCTCTTAGAATTTGCAGCCAGGGGTGGGGCCTGAGCTTTTCTCTTCTGCCCATCTCTTAGTTTGGTACATGCCATGGAGTGTCAAGTTCTCAAAGGGAGAAAGGAACCGTGCCTCTGAGATCTCATGACAACTCTGGGGTCAGAGGTGATCTCCCTTTTACAGATGAGGAAACTGCGACTCAGAGAGGTTGAGTGTCTTGCCCACAGTCACACAGCCACTAAGTAGCTAAGCCAGGATTCGAGTGAGGCCACAGGCCCCCTGGTCACCTGTCTGCCCCTCGGGTGTGTTACTCTGGTTCCCTTACTCCTCTGTGAGCCAACAGGACGTTTCCACCCATCCTCTTGTGCCTGCACTGCCTGGAGGTAGGAAAGAGGAGGAGATGTCCCTTTCAGCTCTGCACACTACCCCATTCCCTGCTGCTGCTACTGCTGCTGGGAGTGCGTCAAGGGGTTGGGGCTGTTTCTGGCTTCCCTGGCATTTGATGTCAAGAGGAAAGCTGCCTCTGTCGGCCTGGGTGTTTCGAGGTTCTCTTGCAGTAACTACTGGGCCTCCTGGGAGGCGGCCCATTGCTACCTGCTGAGCCTAGGCAAGTCTGGCATTGAGGAGAGGCCCAGATGTGAGCCCTGCGCAGGGTCAGCCACCCCAGCCCCAGACCCTCACTGTGGCTCCTGTAATCTCATGGCCCTTTTCAGCCACATCGCCCGGCTCCAGGGCTGTGTTTTTTGGGGAAGAGTGACTTTCAGCTGCATTCCAGGTGGCTCCCTGATGCTGAATGGTGGCCAGCAGGTGCTCCGGCTTCCCAGCATCCTGGCCCAAGCACACCTGGGGGCTATGAGCCACAGGTGCTGCCAGGAGAATGCCCTCCTTAGCCTCCCCAAAATAACAGGATCAGAGGATCCCGCAGGCACAGTTTCTTTCCAGGCCTGGGTTCTGAGGGCTGGTGGGTGGCACTCATTTGTTTAGCTGAATTAACTTCACAGTTAGATAACCGATCCCCACCACTGGGTGACTTCCCACGTGGTTGCCTGTCTATCTCCTCAGAGCCTTGGCACCGTGTGCTGCTCAGCACCCCCTCGGCTTGGGCTCCGCAGCATAGTGGATGATCCAGTTTGGATGCTTTGTTTCCCAAGAGCCAGCCAGGCAATGACCTCCAGTACCGTTTCTCTGCCTGGGATCCCAGAGGGCCCTCTTGTAGGAAGAACACCGGCAGCAGTCCAAACGGGAGCTGCAGGAAGGCCCTAGAGCAGGGAAGTACCACCAGTGCAGGCTTGAGACTGAGAGATAGTGAGGCTCGGGCAGAGGAGAACCAAGGTCTTTCAGTTGATGATTAAGGAGTTGGAGAGCAGGCTGGGCATGGTGGCTCACACCTGTAATCCCAGCACTTTGGGAGGCCAGGGCGGGTGGAACACTTGAGGTTAGGAGTTCGAGACCAGTCTGGCCAACATGGTGAAACCCCGTCTCCACTAAAAATGCAAAAATTAGCCGGGCGTGGTGGCACGTGCCTATAATCCCAGCTACTCGGGAGGCTGAGATAGGAGAATTGCTTGAATCTGTGAGGTGGAGGTGGCCATGAGCCGAGATCACGCCATTGCACTCTGTACTCCAGCCTGGGCAACAGAGTGAAATTCCATCTCAAAAAAAAAAAAGAGAGAGTTGGAAAACTGTTGGAGAAGCCAGAACCTGTTGGCAGAGTTTGCAGGGGTGCTACGGAGAGGGAGGTGCCCACCCCAGAGGTGAAGACGGGATGGGTGGGGTTTTCAGCTCCACTGGACACCAAACAGAAGCTGTAATGACAAGGCTAGTGCCTATGTTGAGGGCTAGGCCTTTCTGGGCCCTTCATAAACATTGGCAAACAAAGCTTAGGTTCTCGACTTGTCTGGGCCAAGTTCTAATTCCTTCCAGGAGCGTGGACACGTTGCTTACCTCTGAGCTGTTTCTTCTCCAGGCAGTGGTGAAGCTGGAGCCTGCTGCATGGGAGGGTTCTGTGGAGTGAGATGAGATGTTTTACGTCATGCTCTTTTCACACCTTCTTGGCACCCAGAAAGAGCTCAGCAAATACTAGCTGCTACCAGCCACCCTGACTGTGGCTATCAGCCAGCATTGTTCTTCCCAGGCCCCGCCCTATCCTCCACCTGGCATAGGGTTTCTCAGGGCATAGGAAACTTTCTGGGCCAGATTGGCCATGGGAGGCTTTCCTGGGGACCAGAGAGTCTGCAGGGAGGGCAAGTCAAGAGCAGGTGAGAGGGAGGGAAGGATGAGCAGGACCCTTGACTTAATTCTTGGCTGCAGTGTGTATTGGCCTGCCTGGTGACCCTCGTTGCTCCTGGTCCCACTGCCGAACCTCTGGAGTCTGCCACATCTCTGCATAGACAGGGCCACCGACAGGCAGTGGCAGCCAGTTCAGTGGCACTCAGCCAGGTCTCCAGGGGTGTGCGCTTTGCTCTGGGGGCAGGGTAGTGGGGGCTGAGGCCACTGGCTGCCTTCAGGGCCCCCCGCCCCCACCAGCCAGCAGCTGACAGCTCCACCTTGGTCTTCACTTGGGCCGTCTTCCTTCTACACTTTCTCAGCTGCTGCGTGGGCATCTTTGGCAACTTTTCCTTGTCCCACCAGTCAAGGCCCTGCTGATTTGTTGATGATCAAACTGCAGTTCTTGTACCTGGGGAAGGTTTCCAGCATCTCCATGGAGCCGTGGTCTCTGATTGCTGGAGCATGTCGTGGTCGGTTCAGGCTGCTGTAACAAAGCACTGTCTGCTGGGAGGCCCACACCCAGGCCTTTACCTCTCACAGTTCTGGAGGCTGGAGATCCAGGGCCAGGGTGCCAGCAGGGTCAGGTTCTGGTGAGGGCAGTAAGAAGCACGGCTGCCATCCCCCTGTATCTTCACATGGCCTTCCTGGGAGTGGACATGGAGAGAGAAAAGGACCTGTCTTTCTTCTTCTTATGGGGACACTCACCCCATCCTGTGGGTTCGTCTATACCTACTCACCTTGCAAAGGCCCCACCTCCAGATACCAGCCCATTGGAGTTAGGGCCTCAGCATGAATTCTGAGGGGGACAGAAACTTTCAGTCTTAATAGTGTGCTTCTTCCAGACTGGCATTCCTGGGAAGGCCCTGGATAGGCTGTGCCGGGGGTGGGGGGTGATGTTGCACTGGCGACAGCTAGAGGAGGTGGCTGGCCTGAGGGGAGACCCCTGAGCAAGGAGGTGCCCCTTCTCATGCGCACCAGCCTGACACGACCCCCTCCTCGGAAGATGGAAGGCACATAATGATGTGACCTCACAGGGCCTCAGTTTCCTTGTGTGTAGAAATGAGGGTTATGGTGCCTGCCTCGTAGTGTCCTGGTGAGGAGTGAGTGGTATGATTCACGGGAAGCTGTGACTGTCACATTCCCACCTGCAGAGGACATGGTGAAGGGTGACAGCCCCGTGTGAGACCCTGCAGGTCACAGTTTCATTTAATCCTGAGAACATACCACCAGACAGGTCTTTCTCACTCCACCATGTTTAAGGAAACAGAGGCTCCAAGAAACGGAGGAGCGTAGCCAGCGTCATCGTCACGGAGAAGGGTGGGCTCGTGACAGTGAAGATGCAGGCTGTCCTGGCCGCCCTTGCTTTCTGGGGGGCTCCTGTGGGGATGATGATTTTAATTGTTCAAGGAGACAGGTGGTGTTTCTTCCAGCTGGTCTTTCCCACCTGGGATGTTGGGGGGCTCCCCAAGGGGAGTGTTGCCCTGCCAGCTGGGGCCTGCTGTCGCACTGCCCTGCCTTGCCCCGCAGCACACACGGGGACCCACGCCCACACAGGGTTACTTGCACCAGGACACACACAGGCCTGACACGCACAGGGACTTGCCCTTGCCTGGAAATACACTCACATAGAAACATGGAGACACACAAAGTGAGACACATGGGCACACACCTACCCAGGCCACAGGCCTGTGTGGGGTTCCATGCACAAGGACATGCTCAGGCGCTCACACTCACATGAGAATGAACACACCTGGAGACATGAAGATGCACAAAGGGACACACAGAGACGCAGACACAGAACACATGGGATCTTCCCCTGTGCCCTTCTCACACACAGGCTCCCACAGTGCCAGCAAGCCAGCTCTCCAAAGTGTGGTGCCGTCCCTGTCCTGGGCTGTTGAGGCCCTGGCCCTCTCTGTCCCGCAGCTCCAGCTGGGAGTGTTTGCCCTAGGTGAGATGCTGAGCATTGGGGACAGTGGTTTCTAGCCACGTGGCCTTATGCCAGCTTTGGGATGCAGTCAGGATTGTGACCCCGGCCCACCCTTGCCGTGTGCCCTGGAGGATGACTCGGGTGGGCTATGTGGGAAGCCTGTGCTGATTTCAAGGCCGACTGTCCTGTATTCCAGGCCGGGGACCAAGCTGCTGAGCGCTTCTGAGAGGGACATCTCCTCGGCAGGGAGTGACATACGCCACACCACTTGGGCCTGCCAGCTATGCGCTGGTGCTGTGTGGGCTGGGAGGGCAGTGGCCAGGTGACAGGGACTGCAGAGCAGGGCCTAAGATGCTGTGACTTGCTGGGGTGCCTGTGGCTTTCGGGCTTCTCTCAGATGAGAGTTGCACAGGTGGGTGGGGGTTTGGGGAGGCTGTGGCAGCATCAGAAGAGTAGCCCAGAACCAGCTGAGTCCACTGTCCGAGCCTCCCAGGCCTGCAGCCCGCACCCCAGTGGGACCACATCCTCCCCACAGTCAAGCCTGTGTCTTCTCAATGTGGCATGCTGGCATGTGGGTGCTACAGGCGCCCAGTGTGACACTCACTGGCCTTGCTGAAGGCTGAGGGTGCCCCAGAGGTGAGTTGTGGGGAGCCTCTGCTGGAGAGGGAGCTGCATTTCTGGCCCGCAGGCAGAGTGAGCCGGGTCTGCGGCTTCTGAGCTGAGCATGGGGTGCCCTCTGCTGGTGATGGCGAGAAGCTCAGTGCCTTTGTATGGAGAAGCCTGCCATCCAGACCCGCCACTGCCCCCAGAGGGAAGGCGCCTGAGACCCCTCCTCCTTGGCCAGGAGGCTGTTTGCTGTGTCCCTGCCAAGAGGGACCTCAGTGTCCTGGGACCCTACCCAGACCTGGTCCCCGCCGCAGATGCAGCAGTTTGGGTTACCTGGCTTCAGCGCTCCAGCTCTACATGATGTTTCCTCCAGGTGCACATGCAGTTTCTTGCTTCCCGTGGGTGCTGTCACCAGGCGGCAGGCGGGGTATGGGTGAGTGCCGATGAGTCATGGCCTTGGCACGCCGGCAGTCTTCCTACCCTTCCACTTATGGGCACCAGCGGCCCCTGCGTAAGTCATTGGTTCCCCTCACAGGAGCCAGCTGGCTGTCGTGGGCCAAGCTGCTTATGATGGTGACATGAAGCCTCCACCCCGAGAGTGTCGAAGGCCTGGCCCAGGCTGTACTTGCCAGTGGGGAGCTCTGCTGCCTCCGGCCCCAGAATCAGGGAAGTTCAGAGAGACAGAGGCTCCCGGAGAAGAACCTCAGGCGGCAGCTGACAGCAGGGCGAGGCCCCTGGTCTGACTCTAGGACCAGCCTGGCTCCTTGAGAGTACAGGGCCTCCTCACTTCTCGAGGTGGGGACAGGTGCACCGCCTGCGGGGAGACACTGGGTTTTCACACCCTCTGTTGTATGTGCCTCCCCTGTGAGCCTTCCCTGAGACCCCGTGGGCTGGGTGCCCACTAAACACTTGGTCCCTCTCCCACGAGGTTGTGGGCTCCTGAGGGTAGAGGCCTGTGAATGTCGCCCCTCGCTTTCTGCGCTGCCTGGAACAGAGGGTGTACCTCGCTGAAGCTCAGTTTTCTCCTTAAGGACCTGCCTAAGCCTGTTGTAGGGACTGGATCGAATAATTCAGGCGATGTGCTCGTGCACTGGTCCCAACATGGGGAAGGCTTGCGCGACAGCCTCTCATCCTATCCCTGTACCGTCAGCACAGCGCCCAGCCCTGTGAGGTACCAGACATGGGTGACTTACCTAGACATGCCCATTCAGCAGCCCCTTGAGCAAAAAGGACCTACCCTTGCCTTTCAGATGCAGACCAAGATGCAGAAAGGCACGTGGCTTATTAGCCTATGCCCCCTGTCCTGTGCTGCCCACCTACACTCTGCTTTAACCCTTCTCAGGCCGCAGGTATCCAGGCAGGTGTCAGAGGTGCAGCCCCTGCACACCGGGGACCCTATCCATCCTGCTAGTTGGGAGGACTAGGAGTTCCAGATGTGAGACCTCCAGTTCCTGCTGCCCTCAGAACCAGGCCCAACCCTTGCCGTGACCTTGAGGGCTGCCACTTTTCAGAGTGCACTGGGCCCATCTCCACCCATAGACCATACTGCCCCATCTTTACCTCGAGCACCAATCTCTTCCCACCACAGGGGCCTGTGCCTGAGATGGTCCCTCTACAGAAATACCTGCTCCTGGCATAGCTGGCTTGTTGCCCATTCTGACTCTCTGCTGCCACCCTAGAGAGGCACGGCTTCCCTGTTTAAAGCAGGCTCTCCCATCACCCATCTTCACAGCAGACTGTTCGCTTGGCTCTGTGCCCTTCCAGACCCACAGCCGTTACCTCCCCATCTCCCCCACCCTCCCACCCTCTTCCAAAGGTGGAACACACAGGAGGGATTGGGAAATTTGCTGAACAAAGAAGTTATACATAAGCCCTGATCTGTTAGCAGGACTGTGGGATGAACAAAACGTTCTGGAAAGTGGGTGTGACGGTCAGATGTGGAGGGAGGGAAATCTTCCCAGGGAGAGAACGTCTCCGGGTCAGCCTGCTCCTGCTGGGCTGGGAGGGCCGAGCACACCCCACCGATCACCCCAGGCTGCCCTGACCCCGCCTTCCCTGTGCCCGCAGCACCGGCAGCTGCTGAAGGACAGCTTCATGGTGGAGCTGGTGGAGGGGGCCCGCAAGCTGCGCCACGTCTTCCTCTTCACCGACCTGCTTCTCTGCACCAAGCTCAAGAAGCAGAGCGGAGGGTGAGTGACGATGTGGCCCCCATCCCGGCGGTCACCTCCCCATGACGCTCCAGGACATGGAGGGCCCTCTCTTTACATTCTGTCTCCACTTGAGCACAATGCCGGGCTCAAGGTTAAAGATTGTCACTAGCAATCTGGAGAAGTCATCAGGCATCATGGTGACCAGCTTTGACTCCCGTAGTGAGGGGTAAACCTGACCATGGCTTCCGGCACCATTGCAGAAAGGTTACCTCGGGACCTATCTGGGAAGCGTGAGGTCAGGGGCTGCAGGCAGTGCTGGGTGGTGACTGCCCCTTGTCTCCCCGAGCCTGGTGGTGGCTTCTAAGTTACTCTCGGCACAGGCCTGCACACATTCCCCTCCTCCTTCCAGGGATTGGGTTCACCCAGGTTGCACCAGGTTGGAATGGAGCAAAGAGGGCCATGTTAGGAAGGACCAGCACGGGGCTCTTCCCTGCATCCTGCCGTTTCCCTGCTGAGTGGGTTTAATCAGTCAACTCAGAGGACAGCCTTAGTTCCCCCTTCTGTCAGGCGAGGGGATGACCAGCTAGATCTGTAGTCCCTCAAACTCTACGGCCCTGGGGGTGGATTTCAGTCCTGTCCTGTCATTGTGCAGTCTTGATGTGCTCCCACATGAGCCTGCAACCTTAGGGCCAGCTCAGGATAAGGTGGATCTAGACTCCTGAGATGCCTGGGGCCTGTGGTCACGTGTTCAGAGTGTCTGTTCCCAGGAATCACAGTTCCCAGGAATCCCAGCGCCTGCCAGTGGCCTCATCCCAGTCTGTTCCATGGAACACATGCTGGGTTTTGGGTTAGGTAAAGCATGTATGGCCAGGAACATGGGCTCTTGGCCTCTTGACAGCAGTGACATCAACCACGGAAGGCAGCCGGTGCATGTGAACGTTCTTCTCTCCCCATCCCCAGCAAAACCCAGCAGTATGACTGCAAATGGTACATTCCGCTCACGGATCTCAGCTTCCAGATGGTGGACGAATCGGAGGCAGTGCCCAACATCCCCCTGGTGCCGGACGAGGAGCTGGATGCTTTGAAGATCAAGATCTCCCAGATCAAGAGTGACATCCAGAGAGAGAAGGTGCACGCCAGGGGAGCGAGGGCCGGGTTCGGTGTGGTCTGAATGGGCAGCAGCCCCCCCACCCGGCCAGTGGGTGCTTTCTACATCAGGCCTCTGGGCCCCAGGTCTGGTCTCTGGGACCCCTGTAAGCTCTCAGCTCTGGGAGGGCTGGCATCTGGGCACAGGTAGGTGCCCAGTTGTTCTGAGAACCCCCAGCTCAGTGGGGAGCCCCATACCAGAGCAGCTGCCAATCCAGCCTTCCAGAAAAACGAAGGGAACTGGTCGTGGTCTCTACAATGTGCCTTTCACGGGATACTTCCTGCACCTGGTGGACCGCCTCATACTTAGTTGTCCGACTTGTGACCGGGGGTCCCTCTCGAGAGAAACTTGTTTATACTGGCAAGTTTAGACTGGGTCCAGTTTATGTCTGCCTGACCATTGCTGTGGCACTGGGAGCCTGATTTTGTGTTTTCACTGGCATCCCCGGGGAAAACTTAACCTCAGCAAACACCTCCTAATTTTCAGAACCACACCACCACAATACGAAACAAGTTCAGAGATTTCACCTACAGGTTTTGGACAAGGAGGTGCCATGAGTAGGGAGGGCAGTCTTCTGTCCCTGGGTCACACAAGGCAGAAATGAAGACTCGGAGAGAGAGAGCGTGCACATGACAGCTAGCAGTATTTATAATGGAACAGGGTGTGATCCCTTTTAAGTTCACAGGCAGATTCCTGGATGGTCCTTTTAAGGAAGCAGCAGGAACGTGGGAGCTCAGTCAGCTGGGCGGGAGAGAGGCTTCTGGGTTCTCACCTCTGGCCACGGGCTTGAGCTGTTCGAGTGTGTGGTCTCCTGATACCCAGGCTGCATCCTTTGCTGTATGGTTCCATTACACGGGTGAAGTACCAAGTCACCAGAGAGAAAGTCACAGCCAGACAGTAGAGGGCTTGGAGTAGTCCAGGATGCAGGGCTGAGGGAGGTGCTGGCTGTCCCCCATACAAGCTACCCTGATGTGGGCCAGGCCCAGGTGAGAGTGCCACCCCACCAGGTGTTCAGGACTACCAGCGCTTGGTTTTTCCCAGAGATATTTGAAGACTTTAAAAATGGCAAGGATGAACCCCTCAATCAAAGGTTAGCCAGGCCAGAGGAAGGGAGTGGCAAGAAGATTAGGCCTGGGTCCAGGGATGCCCAGGTAGGGTGGATGCAGCAGGACAGGAGTTCCTCAGCCCTTGCCCAGCTGCCCAGCCTGCTGTACCCAAACCCAGCACACTTAGGAACACAGGGAGCTTCGAGACTGGGGTGAACATTCTATTGTTCATCGTTGTGGGACTGTGACCTCCAAGGTAGGGTGTCCCCGTGCAGAGTGGGAGCCAGTGCTCAGGGCAGCTGAGGCCTATTGACTGTTACTGTTGCATTCTCCATGTTCAGCTCTTTGGGGGATGGGATAGGATGGGGCCCTACCTGGTGACAGGCAGCACAGTTTTCTCCTCCCCAGGGATAGTGGCTTCTAGAGTGAAACACACAGCTCAGCGTAGGAACGGCCTTCCCATCCAGGTTCTGTTGACAGTTGTCTGGCCTTCTGCTGAGACCTCCACAAACGTGCCCAGGGGGCCCGATGCTGAAACCTAGTTGGATTAGGAAGGGGGTGAAGGACCCTCTAGGTCATAACGGCCTCCTGGACATTGTCTGAATTTGGGAAAATGAAAGGCAGGGATGTTTGTAAAAGTCTCTTCTCTCCGCCCTTGTGAGAGGAAAGACTTAATTCCTACAAAAAAGGTTTACTGAGCATGTCCTGCAGCTTGTGCCTTGCCTTGACCCTGTAAAAAGGCTCTTTCTGTCCTCCAAAGGCCACCAGCAACTGCGGTCTGGGGCCCCGGGCTGTGCTGAGTGGAGAGATGGGATTCTCGCCCTCTGCAGGCTGAATGCAGCTGGTGGGTGGGGATGGATGGAGTGGGAGTGGGTTGTGTGGGGTGCTGGAATGGGAAGGTGAGGCTGTGGCATCTCCCCGCAGAGGGCGAACAAGGGCAGCAAGGCCACGGAGAGGCTGAAGAAGAAGCTGTCGGAGCAGGAGTCACTGCTGCTGCTCATGTCTCCCAGCATGGCCTTCAGGGTGCACAGCCGCAATGGCAAGGTGAGCGCCTACTGTGCTGGCCCCTCCTGCTCTCCCGGCCTGGGATGGGCTCCTGACTGCCTCATGGCAGCGCGTTTTCACTTGGACGCACCCCACACTGAGAGAGGCTTGTCCAGCATGGTGCATGCAAGCACACTCATTCCCTTGTCTGGGGCTTTGGGCCGTAGCCCCCAGGTTGAGTGGCAGCTGGCTCAGCTTCCACAACTGGGAGTGGGCAGGGTCTCCAGGGAGGGTATAGGGCAGGGGAGCCTAGCAGGTGCAGACCTGGCCCTTGGTACAGGGATGCTGTCCCGGGACCTTGAGGGCCAGAGACGCATTTTCTGTCCTGAGTCTGGCTCCTGCTGCCATCTGTAACCTGGGCCTCTCCCTCCTGTCAGACCTGGCCGGGAGAGGCTGCTGGTGGGCTCTGCTGGTGGGGCTTGTGGGTTCAATGCAGGAGGTCAGGTCTGGGTTAATCTTCACCTCTGCAGATCCCACCTGGTCACCTCCATGTCTCTAAGCTGTGCCCCTCTGCCAGCATCACACCCTGACCTATGTGGTTCAGGTGAGAGCTTGTGCCACGGGTGCTGTGGCATCCAGCTGGCAGGAAGGGTAGGGAGTGCCGGAAGCGACATGCCAGGCCATGAGCACACCTGGCCACGGGGCTCCAGCCAGCTGGAGGTATGAGTTGTGTGCCCTAAGGTGCCCTGGGCCTACCAGGCATTTGCGTAGCCAGGGTGGAGATAACTGGGTGTGTTCTTCTTGCCCACCCTAGAGTTACACGTTCCTGATCTCCTCTGACTATGAGCGTGCAGAGTGGAGGGAGAACATCCGGGAGCAGCAGAAGAAGTGTAAGTATCCTCTGTCCCGAGAACGTCTGGGCTTCAAAACATTAGGGCCAGGCTGGCAGCTCCTGTGATTTTAAACCTTCTTTTTTATTTTGAGGGGTTTTATCCAAGTGAAGTGTTGCATTGGAGATAGCCACCCTGATAGGCCCCCAGGCCTCTTGTCTCCCCACCTGCCTATCCTGCCCCCATCCCCTGGGCACTCATTTCCCCACTGCCCTGTGATCCCCCTTCCCCAGGCCCTTTCCTGATTCCACACCCGCCCCTACACACACCCCTGCCATCTGCCCCCAGCCTGCTGCCCATACACCCCACCCCTGGCCTGCCCCCTAGGCCTTTCTGGGACCCTGCCACCATCCCATTTTCTTGGCCTTCCCCATTTCCCCTCATCTGCTCCCCGCCCCCCGGGCCTTCCCTGCCCCAGCAGGTGCTGATGCTAAAGGGGCCTTTGGCTGGGCTCACTTGTGCAGCCCCACTGTGCTGGCCCCACTGCCCTGTTCATATGGCCAGGGTTGCCGGCTCTCAGCACAGGGGCCCTCCCTCCTGTCTGGGGCAGCCCCTTCCTTCTCTGGGCACTTCCTTCTGTCAGGGTGCT